TATGAGACCTCAAAATATAAAAAAATGTTTTTTTATTAGTTGATATTGACATTTTTGTATAATCCACAGTTTTAAGATGTTGGAGACTAAATTAAATGATTAAGTTTTAATTCTTTCTATTCTTATTTCCACCTGATAATTCTCATTCAAATGCTGACTACAAGCCTGTTATTTATATTCAGATCATGTTGGGTACTAACCCTATAACTTGTGCAGCTCCAGCCAAGGATGGGGATAGTTTTGTACTGGATATGGCAACCTCTGCAGTAGCTTTAGGGAAGGTAACTTTATAACACTTAGACACAAACTGGATCTGCTAGATACACAAATATTTGATGATGACATATTTTTCATTACCAGGATCGAACACTGGATATTTCAGAATTATCACAATTATAGAATGATCAATTTTAAAATTGCTGCAGAATACTTGATAAATTAATAAGAGTATTCATAGTCATACATTTATTACATGCAGGTAGGGTGCACTGCAGTACTGAATATTTATATATGTACAGTGTAAATTTGCACAATTATGTGATTCACAAGATTTTGCTACATTTTGGGGTCAAAGGTCATGATCGCAGTGTGAGTTTATATAACTACAGGAGGAAATGGCTATAGCTAATAATAAAATATACCAGTAGTTCCTAAGAGAAATTAGTCAACCCCATTAAAAATGTGACTTGACATGTCCATTCATATTTTCAGATCAAAATGTTATAGTAATTGTGTTTTTATGTTATTTATTTATGTTTATGTTCACAATATAACTACAATGGAAAGATAGCCATTGACTTTAAACTTGGCACACATGTTTTTATGTGATCCCAATACTTGATTTGCATTGTTTGGTGTGGGTATAGCAAGTAAGTGTTTGTTGCTAGGAATAAAGAGATCTAATTACTTTGTTGGGTGATATATATAAAATTATTTTTATGTACATATATATGGGGTGTTAATTAATTTATGAAGTCTTATGTGTTTAGCAGGATTGAAATTGGATTATATAAGGCCCAGGAAACCAGTAAACAACTGCAAGATTTAACAAGATTGATGTATAATATAATGGCTATATTTGTAGGTTGAAATAGCAGATAGGGCAGAGACGAGCATACCTCAAGGATGGGGTGTAGACTCCACAGGACAGGTAACAATTGCCTTAAATCTAATTTAAATATTTAGGATGTAATATTGTATTTAATGCTTTCGTCATAACACTTGATACGTTCAGTTGTAATCAGCAACCAAATAAAATACGAGGTTATTACAGAGATACCTCAAAGGATGCACAAAGACAGTACAGCAGGAGTATCCACAGACACGCAATAACCTAATTATTGTTATACATCTTTTTCTTCCAATGATACATCGTGGGAATGCCAAAATCCAAAATGTTTAGAACAGAATCAGCAAACTTTTTTGTGTGGAGTCCGGTCAAACCCTTGTGGCAGCCATGTTTGTTTTTATTACTAGAGGACACTTACGCGTGTAATCAATCCATATTTGGAATTCGCATTTGCTAATATGGTAGGATGAAAATACCCCGTAAAATACCGCAAAATTACGACATGACGTAACCTATGGCGTTACAGTGACAGATGTATAATAATAATATTCTTTATTTATATATGTTTTAACAATGATGTAATTCACTAGTAGTAAAATTATAAATATTACTCATACCGGCAACATTGCTGATAGGTTGTTGAAATATTAGGGAGGGAAAAGTTAGTTAAAAACGTTTTTATTATTTCACCAGATCACCACAGATTCAAAGTCTGTTTTACAGGGAGGAGGGCTATTACCACTCGGTGGCAGTGAGGAAACTTCAGGTTATAAGGTAACATACATTTGGAGACTATGGATGGGTAATTATTAGATTCATTATTATTGCAGGCAGACACTTGTAGTAGTGGGGGGGGGGGTGATCCGAGCTGGTTCATTAGGTTCAAACAAACACTATAACGTCTGAAGATTAATATAAATTATAAAAAAAAAAATTTATGGTTAATTTTTTTTTACAAAGAACCAAACCAGTGTAATCAAATTCTGAATCTACCCATGGGATCTACTGTAGTATAATAAGTTGAAATGTATTTAATTACATAGGCTAGTTTTTGTATTAATTGAGAGTTGGAGGTAATAATTAAAGTGATGTAAATTATCTTTCATATTATTCATTATATCATACCTATATAGTCCAATCCAGCCCAGGTCAATGTAAAATTAAATTGCATTGTAAAATTATTGAATAATTTTATAGAAAAGTATTTAGAAAAATTCTCATTTTACATGACATTTCTAGCTCTTATTTTTTCAAAATATTGTTCTGTGATTCAAACTTTTTGGCTTTTTTTTTGGTATCTTATCCGTATTATCCCATGATAATAAAAGTGGTGAGATAAAGGACACAAATTTAGACCTAAAAACATTTTAACTAATTTGTTTCTATGGAAACAAGTGTAACTACTATCAATAAATTGAGATAACTGTCATATCTCTGTAACATACTATGTATTGTTATTTTTCAGGGTTATGGTCTTGCTATGATGGTAGAAATGTTTTGTGGTATTTTAGGAAATGGTGATTTTGGTCCAAATATTAGAAGGTGGAAGGATGCTGACAGAGTAGCAAATTTAGTGAGTATCTGGATTATTTAATTAATGTGGTTTCTTTGTAGCAGTCACATATAAACTGGTAGTCAGGGCAGTTTTAGCAATGTGTGAATATTTTAAAACACTAACTGGTGTTGTCCAGGTACACTGAAATATGCAAACAATTTAATTTGGGTTGTGCGTCTCACCAATCCTCGGGGGCGGACATCCGGGCATTTACCACCGCCTGGCAACCCTCGCGGTGAAAACAAAGACCAAAAACTCACAGAAAACGGTACTTTGCGATGGTTGATGAGAGTCCCCTGAACAGTGTAACAAGATTATCCCTACGTGTGTAACATATATGAATTTGGTTGTTCAGGATTACTTCAAAGTTGAGTTTGTGTTGTTTTCTCGAGTTTTCACCGGCTCCACCACAGCAGCGCGCACAAAGCCCATAGAAATACGTGGTACAGATATGCACGTCTTAGCAACGTAGAACGTCCGTGACGTAGCTCCGCCCCCGAGGATACCTCTTTTATTCAGTTTAAAACTCATTGACCTCCAATTCTCTTCTGAAGTGTTAATTCCACTATAACTGATAAAATTGAAAACAATGCACAAAATATCTTAAACACTAGGTAGTAGTTTTGAATGTAACTGGTAGCAGGAATACTCATAGTTTTATCATTTCAAGTGAAATACTTGTGTCAGACTATTTTGCAATGTAGTGAACAAAAAAAAACTAAAGTGAGCATAACACATGTGCTTATTCTGTAATTTTGATGTTGAAATTTCCAAAGTGAGTACAAATAGTTGATAGAACCATGATATTGAATCATGCTATGGATATACCGGTATAACCAGATTGGTAGCTAAATGTACCTACTTATGACAATGAGATAGTTAATGGTAGTTAGAAACATAATGTTCAAGAGGTACATGTACATGCAACACTTCTAGCACAATCAAGTTAACCCTCCGGGCTCCCAGTTTACATTAATGCACATGTTCTTCAGTAGTAAATAACATTTAAATAATAATCGTGTGGTCATGTGTATAAAATTTATTTATACTCACTTACTTCATACATTCCTTTGAATTGTTTCTGCTACATTCTATCAGAACAATTAACAGCTGCATTTGCTGTCTTATTTGTTTCAAATGTTTTTATATATAATGCCTTAGCTTGGTTTGGCCAATTGTTCTCTGGGTTGATCATTTTTTGTTGAGAAATAATTATCTCTAAATACTGTGATACTATTTTGACAGGTTTTACATCACATGACTATATATTTAGTAGACTCTAGTATACTCCATGGAAAACATTGTTTTTCTAGGTTATCTGTCATAACCCAGTCTGAAGCATATATCCCAACTGTCTCATAAATAATCAATAAGCATGGAAACTAAAATTAATAATTCATGTATTAATATATAAATATGGTTTAGCAATAATGTGACTATATACTCTTGGGAACATAATTTAATATGTTGCTTGATTGATAGGGTCAGTGTTTTGTTGCCATTGATCCAGAATCCTTTGCACCAGGATTTACAGATAGAATGCAATCGTTAATTGATATTTGTAGAGGCCAACAACCGGTAAGTATATATTTGCAGTGTAATATACAAGTAGGTTCAGATGTTCACACATGCTTATTAAGGCATGGATGCAGGGTCATGGAGACTTGTTGTTGCCTATACACACTTTTGAAATTTTAGAGCTCTATCACCAGAGGAACATACTGAAAAAATGCTCAATTTATCTTTAAAAATGCAAAAAGATAAATCATTTTTTCAAAATAGCTGACCCAAATGTTTCAGAAGCCACAATACTGGTCATGAGTTGCTGACACCAGGTCAAGTAAAGGAAACTTCTAGTGTGCTGTGTACTTGTTCTGGGTAACATCATGATCTTTGTGGTGATGACATTCATCGTTTCTTGCTAACATGTAATAAATATTTAATGTCAGACGTCACAAAGATCACTCGTTCTATGACTTGTTATGGCATGAGAAAAAAGTCACTGCCAACAGTGACAGTTGGACAGCAAGGATTTTGAAGACATCATCTCGGAAGACATCATGGAATTAGGCAATTAGTGATCTGTCCACCTGACTAATATCATCATTGTTATGAGTGGTACTGTGCTTCAGCATCACAGACTGATGTGGCTAAAGCCATGGATTTTTCCCACACGAACCAACAATACTTTGTGCGACTAAGTGGTGGACTTATTAGTAGACAAATTCATGCAATCATGTAAATCTTGGAAATCGTATACCATTCTGGCTACCACCCCATTGCAATTCAGGCAGTTACCAAAGAACCTGGTGAAGAAGAGGCAAAATCAGGCAGAGACAGCAGTGTTGTTTTTCAAGGGCACAATAACAATATGCCAAGCAATCAATCCTAGATTTAACACACACCTGCTTCTGGTTACAAAAGAATCAGGGGACTTGTAATCTCTCAATCCAAGCGCCAACCTACGGTCATCACACACATCATCAGACGGTCACTGGTAGCATAGTGGTTGTCCCATCAGACTCATGATCGGTAGACCCAAGTTCAAATCCTACCTTAGGCTGAACATTAAAAGGGTCGACCCCTACCCTGGGTGAGTGTGCCACAGACTCAATGGGAAGGCCAATTCCACTGGCCGAGATTCATTCACTAACGAATCTGACTTTGGGGGAACCCTGGTTAAGGTCCGCAGGTGCTTGTGTTGATGCCAGGATAGCGCATTAAAATTGCCATTTGATAGGGAGATGCTCACACAGCCCTTCATGTAGTCCCAAACAGGAAATGTGTCAGCATTAGCACTTGCAATTTGCACTTACAAAAAAGAAAAAAAGAAAAGTCAGATGAGACAAGTGACATTCAATGTCCGGAAATGTCGCCTGGCACAAAAACATTTAAAAAAAAAATCAGACAGTGTGTCAGACCAAATGATTTCATGGCAGCATTGTATCTGACTATGCATATTTAAATCATATTATCCACTTATGTTGCCAAACTTTATTGAGGTTTGCAGGAATGGGAAGGTGTTTATGCAGATGTACATGATACCATCATCATATACTCATCATATAATGTCAGAACACCTTCAGTAGTATATACTCTGTCACCCTGCCTCATAATTTACATGTCACAATCTCAATAAGGAATAACTATTACTCAAATAGTGATTGTAATAACCACATAAAAAGTTGTATACAAATACCCTGACAGGTTCGGGCAGTATGCTTCTTAGATGTTGTGTCAAATTTATACTACCTCACAAAATCATGATGATGATGCATGATGGGAATGGTGACATCATTGGAAGCTCTTGTACAACATGCACTGTCCTCTAGAACTTTGTAGCATTTTCTATTAGATACATACTTTAAGTATCTACAAAAGAATTTTCTAGACCTGAGTGTAACAACCAGGTGCAAAGATGCCTAGTCTGGTGAACCATTCCTGGTTCACTTACAGATCAGAGTTCCACTCATTCCACCTCTACCATCAGTATACTGTTAATATCAGACATATATCGGAGTCAGCATGATGGTTCAACAGGCACAGGCCTCTTGGATATGATATCAGCCGTGCATTTCTACTGGGAGGAGTTGAGTGGTTCTAGTGAGGTATGCCTATTTAACGATTGTGGCCTACCTCAACATGGGTGTGCAAATTATTTTCTGATACGCTCAAATCAATGTCAAACTGTAGTGCAATCACATCAGATGGGTTCACAATATATTATTTAACACACTGTGTTAGACTTAAAACAAGCTTGACGGCACATGGTGCCAGATGTTTGTGACACACAATTTGTCAGCATGCAAGAAGATTACCAGTTGACATACATTGGGTATGTCTGCATTACATAGCTATTTCTTCTGCATGCCTGCTTCTGCCATAACATAACATATATTTACTTATATAGTGCACAGTTACCCAGGATTAGGTTATATTACATCTACATATAAACCTGTTTTGCATTTCATGACCCGACCTATTTTTGAATTTTCCCTTATGAATTGTGTTTATCCCATGACAGATCACTTTGAAAAAGTAATAAAATAACTGTATCATGTACAATGACTAGGTAATATATCACCCACCATGTCATTGAACCTTTGTTGTTTAATTTAGGCTGAAGGTGAAAGTGAAGTACTCATCGCAGGGGATCCAGAGAGAATTCACATGAAAAAAGTTGATCGTGATGGCGGATTAAGATATCATATTAATCTTATTAATGCTTTAGTAAGTGACTTAGCTTAATTTTATTTCATTTTGCATGTTTTGTTTTTTTAATAATTTCTCTTCAATTTTGATCTTAATGGAGAAAATTTCTCATTTATTTTAAGGAAGGCGACCAAATTGACTAGCACTCAAAGGGTTAAAGTGGACAAACATTTTTCACACATTGTATACGTTGAATAGAACCATTTGTGACAATCACTTAAATTATTTTCCATATTAGTCAGTAATGAAACAACCTTTTAAGGACTGTATAACTTGAATAATAAAACATTATTTAATTGTCTATTCCGTGCGAATACTTTGTATATTGACTAACATTCAACACATTTATTGTTGGGTGTAGGTGGCTCATTTATAGTTTCAGTATTTCGTTCTCACTTCATTTCAGGATAAGATAGCTGTTGAACTTGGTGTTACTAAACTGAAGACACTGTAGAAAATTAAAGTGCAGTTACAATGTTTTTATACATCTAAAGATGTACATGTACAGTGTGAAAATGAAGGTATCTAAATATCTCCCGAAATGGTTGTTAATCCTACAAGGATTTAAAATGTGAAGTTATGCAAGTCGTGTGTGAATGACTACAATGTGCATATCTATATGCAAATGTATTTTTATACGGGGCAATTAACATAGTGAACACTGTAAGTGTCATTGTTTATACTAATTGTAATTATTTCTAAATCAAAATAATAAACATAACATTATATACATAAAACCTACCTACCTACTGAGTCAAATTAATGTCCTCCTCTTCATGACACATGACACTTCACTCAGTATTATGAGTGAATGATATTTTATTTATAACAAACTGTCAAAAAATACACTACTTTTATTTGTTTTCAAAATTACAGAAAAAAAGTGTTTGCTCGCATGCAAACCAGTCAGATAAAACTTCCCTTAAGTTTTACAAAACACTCCTGACCCATCAAACACAGTACAGCCTATACATGATTTACCAGGTGGTGTTATCTGGGAACACAAGAGACAGTTTCGAAACTCGTGGCACTCTGAATTACCAGCTTTGAGATGGCTCAGCAGACCTTTGTTGTATTACACCATCGAAAGCATGCACATTCTTAATTAGATCATTCAATTTGGGTATTATTCGACAATTAGACCCATAGTTATATAAATATATTTGAAATAAACCTCGTGTAAGTATGTATAATCATAAACAAACAATATTTTATAATGTCTCTATTCAATATTACTCATATTACAATCGGTATCCAATTGTTATTTATGTTTATGTTTGCTATTATAGCACTGTTAAACCAAGCAAGATACACAAATTAGTTGATATACTGGGTGCAGGTGTGAATAAGCGCTATAGCTGGACATATTTGTTCTATAGGGTAAAGTTATTAGTTAGAAATAAAAGACTCTTTCTATCCACACATGTCTTGAAGTGGGAACATGCATGTACTTCTATTGTTTCAATCCCCATATATAAAAACGAAGAGAGTGGAAATTACACAAATGTTAGGAATTAGGTTCATTAGCTACCACCTAGTAATAACATGTATCACAATATCCAATTGTCTTTGATTTAGGTGTATTTTTTATTTAGGGTCATATTTTGCTTGGATAAGTTCGTAGTGCAACAGCTCTATAATACGGCTTGAGATTTAATCCTTTCAATTTTACTTATATTATACACAAGATAGAAATAAAAGCAGAATTGCCATACAGAATGATCCCATTAATCATCTTCTTGTGTTTAACGGTGATTAACGGTGAATTGGTAAAGTTTTTTTTCTCTCTCTCTCTTAAACTTCCCTAGTGTTTGTGGTGATTTGTCTAAATAATAATCCAATCTACTGAATGAGCTACAAATGTATGCAGGTAATTTGTGATGAAATACAATAATTCGTTTACTAAAATATATATAGATATATCTTGTGTCACACTTCAAGTCCCGTCATTGGCCCCGTTCTTGTATACAAAGGGAATTACGTAACATACGTACGCTGTGATTCTGAAGGAAAACCTAACATTCGGTTACAACTTCATCAACATACCCGTAGGGGTACGATAACTATTAGTAATTACAACTGCGAGGGCTAGAATAATTGTTTTTGCTCTAGAATACATCTTTTTATTTGCGCGCACCTCACCATGGCTAATTTTTATATATGTCGTGTTACTGTAATTGATATTGCAATAAACCACTGTAACTGAAGTAGCAGGTATTGTTGACAATATGATGCATGATTGAGCATGTTTGTTACCGATTAGTCGTGACAAAATATTTCAATGAATGTTGTATCCGTGTGGAGCTAGTTAGGATATTATTTGCTTTATACTTCATTTAATTCATATATACATATAATATTTCCAAATTTGCATGAATATTGTGTTTCAGTTAGTCTCAATTTTATTCAATATGACTTAACTAATGTTACGCATAGACAGTATAAAAATAAGTATCTGATCTGCACTTAAGGCATTGGACTATTTATAACTGTGCAGAAAATATTTTATTTGTGTTATGGGCATCAGTGCACGCAGGTGCATCTAGGTATATGCTCAGGTTGCAGTGATGTGATATGAGACTTATGTAGTGGGAGTTGGGTTTGGGGAGAATGATGAGTTAGCTGCAGCTTTCAACAATAATTTTAGTTAAGAAGAGTTTCATTAATATTTCATTACGCGATAACGTTAATGAATAGATACATCACATCAAAAATCACATTTTAATTACATCTATTGAATTGAATTATACTAGCGAAAATATCGACCTGTGTATAATTTATAAAAAACAATACCAAACAATTTTCTATCCTATTGTACACCTGTATTGTAATTAACCGTATGGCTACATCTGAATTATAAAATTGAAGTATCTATGAAATACAATATCATTCCCAGTGCAAAAACATGTCCCTTAATTTTCGTTAAATAACTGTAATCATATTACTTCAATACATGACATATTAAGGTCATAATATTTAAATTCAATTACCATCAAATTCGCAAACCTTGTTTTTAATCTTGCGAAATACAGCCCCCACCTGATCTTGTACAAGAGTAAATCCCGTGGCCAGCACCGCCATGCCGATCAATAAATAAACTGACGTTAATGGACCAACAACACGGCCCCTGTTGGTAGCATGGAATTCTGGCAGCATGTCACCGAATCCAATGGTAGAAAGAGATACAAACACAAAATAAAACCCATCTAATAATGTCCATTCCTGCGAGTAAGCGTAGCCTACTGCTCCAAAAGAGATATATATGATAATGAATACTATAGTTAATATGGCAATGATAGATTCATTTGCATGATCACACTCCGTTGATGCATCTGTCTGAGTTGCAGAGTTCCGATATACCTTTCTTCTGAATGTCGAGAAGAGCTCGTCACCTGTTGTCACTCCATCTGTATCCCTGTTGTCGATAGCCGTTCGCTTTATGATAAATAAACCGGATGAATGCATGTCATCTACGGCGAAAACTTGTTGAGTACAGCATTTCGATTTGCCGCACTTCAGCTTACGACACAGTACTCTGAATGGTCTAGCAAGATTCTGACCAATGACAGATAAAAGTAAAAGTAGGAGAGGGATGCCAAATATGGCATATACAATGGATAATGCACGACCCGCTGGTGTAGCTGGCGCGATATTACCATATCCTGTGAAATTGAAATTGAACATTCATTTCTCTAGAGATACGCCAGAAGAACTTAACAACATTCACTGAGAAGGATACCAATATAACAATCTATCACCTAGCATGTATTTATTGTATATATCAATGCATTGCATCATAGAACACGTCGAACGATTGCCGTGTTTAAATTATTAAACTACATACTCGTCTGTATATAACATGATTTTTTCATGTTATACATTCCAATACTTTGGAATGGTATTGCATATACCTTCTTTTTAATAAAAAATAATTTATTTACATTATACCTGGTTTAATACATATAATATAAATCTAATGTATTTTGGAAATGAATATTGAATGGTACCAATTACACAATTAAGTTTTTCTTACTATTCTTAAGAATGAAACCAACCACTATGAATAAAGTATCATTATTATTAATGATTTTTTATTTCAATTAATCAGTCGATAAAATATTGAAAACGATTTTTTGACAAAGTCTGTGTCTACCTAATATATGCTACATCATGTCGAGTACTGTTTCTATTTTTTACAATGTCTTAATTTTAGAACTAGTTGTTCGAGTAATGATTCTTATTCCAGTTTTGAACATTTAATGTATGTTATCATGTATCTATTTATTAATGGATTAAACAAAATAAATAAATATTAGCAATGCATATAACATTAAATTTGATTATTTATACATATTTATTTCAAATTAATTCTACAATATCGATAATACTTTCTCACCAGTCTGTCATAAATCATGTTTTGTTACAACTTTGACAACCAATCTATCTTTTCGTTTATTGACAGTGTTTAGTATTAATTACGTTTATATACTTTCGTTTGTAATTATATAAGATCGTGGTACGTGTATATAAAATAATGATAAATGTATCTCACCGATAGTAGTCATAACTGTGAAACAGTAAAATGCTGATGAATACATGTCCCACGTCACTACACCTTTAGCATGTCTATACTCATACAGTTCATATAACTGGTCTCCAAAACTTTCTAATCTGTTTTTAAGGATCGCATCGAAATCCTCACGCTCAGCCACGGTTCTTATTACTGAAATGTTTGAGTTTAACATGTCTTCTTTGGTCTCGTTTAAAACGTCTTCCATCATGTCAGCTATAACCTCTGCTTGTTGTTCTTCATAGCTACCTTCAATGAATACAAAAGCGGCGGTTCCCAGTAGTAAATATAGAACTACTATAATCAGGAGACCTATATGTTTGGCAATTGTACCATGGCGGTACCAGAGGGTTTGAAGACGTCTCTCCATCTTCCCCATTATTCCTGAAGAAGGTCAAAATAGATTTTCATAATGCTGACTGTTTGCGTTGCAGCTTGCCTAATAGAAACGTTAGGCGGCTGTCATGCGATTCAAATTACGTCAATGTAACCATGGATACCATGATCTACTGTATATTTTACAATTTTTAATCATGAAAAGTAACCAATTAGTTTACTAATTTCTTAATGTTAATCAATTAGTGGTGACTAAAAACGCGAATTGTTGCCATTTTTGGACGCATTTTCATATCAGACCTTTGTAACCAGTAGGGTAATGTCCGATTTAATGTCTATTGATATTCTTTATATGTGTTGTTATGAAATGTTGTTCTCGCACAACACAACTTTGGGTGGTATAACAAATATTTTTCCCCAAACCCATAAAATAAGGACAAAGTTATGCGTCATCTCCGTTTCTTGTCGTATTTATCCTCAGCAGCTACTGTCAACTGGCGATCAACTGAAATTGGCAAAATCATCTCGCTGTCATATAATTGTATTTGTGCTTTGGTACGTATGCGGCTAGTGAAAAGAGGTGACATTGATACGGTAGTTGCTTTGATGCCTTTATAATTTTCATTTACTAACTGGTTACTTCGGCTTACAAAATATACTGTATATGCAAACACTTAAAAATGTCGCACACTACTATTCTCTTGAGGAAACAAAGTAATCTCACAAGCTTGGTCAATTGTGCGGTAATACATTTGTAAAGAAGCATGTCATGAAACTGATCACCTCTTTATAATATACGGTTCAACTGATCTGCATATTATATGAACCAATTTACTACCTTATTCTGAAATGTAACATTCAAACAACTTTATGAATTCAATTTTACATACATTTTTGCGCCAGTTATCTTTGATGAGATATTAATGTAAGTCACACCTTTATTAATACTATGTTTTTTGGGGGCATATACCGATTTGAGTTATACTCTACTATCAGCATGGTCTTTTCAATTTTTTAGGATATATCAACCGGAGTCACACATTTAAACACTGAATCTTCGCTGCACTTTCATGTTATTTATGAAAATCCACTTCTTTTTTTTTAAATGGAAGCACACTGTTAAAATTGAAAACATGTGTATTATTATATTATAAAACACCTGTGTCAAAACAGTAATTATAACACATTGTGAATATCTAATATTAAACATTTCAAATAAAACAAACAAATTATTATTTATTTTTCTCGGAAATTGTTCTTTAAAGAAGTAACAACAACTTGGACCGAATGTCTTTTAGATTTACCAAGGATAGATGCGAAGCGGAAGTTATCCTAAATAAAATGTGGTATTGTTACTCCATTACAATACATATGGAAAATGCAATTGATAAAACCAGCGTCATCAGCTGTGTACTACATTGTCATTTGCAGCGGCCTCCACCCATTAATCACGTGTTTAAGGTAGAGATGCAGTTTACCTGACAGGTATTTTAATTGGTTAATTAGGAAACCAAGATGACCTCCCTTGTCCTCAAAACTTGAAATATGCACAAAAATGTGCTTTTTTGGTCAAAAGTGATTTAACAAAAAATAGCTTCTAAACCATGCTTCTGTTTCCTGTCAAAATTGGTTTATGTGTACATCTGTTTACTATGAAGAAAACGCCGTATTGAAAACTGTCTACCCGTTGTCAATTTTGTAGAGCAGCAGCTCAAATTTCACTACTTCAAGTTTATGCATAAATTAACACCCAGGCTAGTTGTCTGTACGATTGCTGTAACACTATTCAACTAAATACAATGCCCCGACGGCGTTTTGAAGATAAACACATTGTCAATCATTTGTGAAAATTTCAAAACAAAAGATCAAAGCATCTACGAGCTATTTTTTTTAAATTCTGGAATGTGCACTAAAATGAAGC